AGGGCCACCAGCACAGCCATCCTGCCAGCAACACACAGCCTGGATACTACCACTGTGGTTGGCATGACAACACCCAATGTCAAGGCCGGCACAGCGACGCTTAGTCTGGATACCATCGCCAGTGTTGGCATGGCAACATCAGGCCCTGGGTGTCACCACCACCAGGGTGGTCATGGCAACAACGTGGACATGGCTGATGGTGTCAGCTCAGCAAGGTCACCATGGCAAAGGCACCCCGTCACCACAGTCCCATGGTCACCCACCTGTGTGGTGAGCGGGACGCCCAGCAGGAAGCCCACCACGGCCACCCCCAGTGTCACAAAGGTCTTCCTGCGGATGATCCACTCATTGCCCACCTCGTCCACAATGGCCGTGACGAGCGTCTCCAGCAGGCAGAACTGCGTGTGAGGTGAAGGGGGCAGCATGTCACCACCTTGGCCCCACCATGCCATCCCACCCCAACATGCTGGCCCCACCATGCCGCCCCACCATGACCTACTTGTGTGCCCAGACCCAAGAGGATGAGCATGAAGAAGAAGAGAATGGACCAGAGAGGCGAGATGGGGAGCAAGGTGAGAGCCTCAGGGTAGGCAACAAATGCCAGGCCAGGGCCATGGTCGGCCACCTTGGAGACATCCACACCCAGGTGCTTGGCCATGAAGCCCAGGATGGAGAAGATGACGAAGCCGGCGTAGACACTGGTGGCGCAGTTGGTGATGCTGATGATGATGCTGTCCCTGTGGGGAGAGGGATCAGGGCCAGCAGTGGGCTGGAGGGCAGCAGGGGGACTGGGGGACCGCGGCCAGGCACTCACCGGTAGCAGTTGTTGTGGAACTTGTTGTAGGAGGCCATGGTGATGAGCCCACCCCAGGCACAGCCCAGCGAATAGAAGATCTGTGAGGCTGCGTCACCCCACACCTGCAGCGGTGGGGTGGTCAGTGCTGTGCCCCCCAGCCCTGCTCCCCCACAGCCAACCACCACCCCTTGTCCCCTCTCACCTTGGCATCAAGGATCTTGTCCCACTGGGGCGTCAGGTAGTACATGATGCCAGTGAGGGCCCCATCCAGTGTGATGCCACGCACGAAGAGGATGGTGAGCACCACGTAGGGGAAGGTGGCCGTGAAGTACACCACCTGTGGGGCGGCACCTCTGTGGGGTGGGGCTGGGGACAGAGGGTGGGGCCACAGGCAAGGGGTGTGGCCTGGGACAGGGAGTGTTGTTATAGACTGGGGAAGGGATAATGGTCCAGAGTGTGGAGAAGTCCATGGGGAGGGGCTAGAGTCAGGGAAGGAGGGGCCATGGCCATATGGGAGGAGTTGTGCCCATAAGGGGTGTGGCCACATTGCAAGGGGTGTGGTCTTTCCCAGAGTGGGAGGAGCCTGCACCCAAAAGGGGTGGGGCCATGTCCACAATGGGAGGTACATTCCCAATAGAGGAGGGGCTCTGTCATCTGCAGAGGGGGTGTGTCCACACCCAGGGGGCGGGGCCCAGAGGGCACACACACAGGTACCTTCCCCGAGGACTTGACGCCCTTGATGAGGCAGAGGAAGACGACGACCCAGGAGACGCCGAGGCAGCCCAGGAGGGGCAGCCGCACCTCACCCAGGGTCCCGACTGCATCCGACAGGCACAGC